TTTATTGAATTTTAATGGTGGTTTTGATTATTCGTTTGGAAAGAGTTGGGAAGGGGTGTCTATGTCCACGTAATGTTTATTTCCTTTTCTGTTTAAATAATTTTTTACAAGCATATGAATTATATTATAATTAAAATTTAGATGTTTAAATATTTTATTATTTAATTAATAAAAGGTTAAATTTATAAATAATTTTTTTAATTGAGTTTTATTTTATAGAATTTATTATTCTTTTATAAATTTTTTTAAAGTTCTTTTCCATCGTATTTATAGAATTATAATATCATTATTTGTCTTTTTAAAATCAAATTAATACCATAAGATTAATTCTAGTAAATAATTTTACAAATTCATTTCATCATAGTGAAAAATAAAGTAAGTTCACTTTTTTTTAAGATCAATTTGCATTCATTTTCACTTTTATGTGGGTTGTTATTTAACTCATGTGACTCAAAGTGAATCTTTGTTTATCTATGATCATAGAGATATGCTTAGATTTCTAATTTTAACTTCGTATGCATAGTTAAATCATCATGTGAGCAATAGAACTCTAAGAAACAACTTTTAGTTAAAGAGTTATCTACCTTAGGTAAGAAAAGCTAGTATTAATTCTTACTTGTAGTACTTGTTAGACTGTAGGTTTATACTTGATTAGATTTGGTTTGAATTGCTAGATTGATCTAATATGTAAAGAACTATGTTAAATGAATTAGTGGTGAAGGAGAATTATGTTAAATTATGTATATGCTTAATTATTGTTTCAAATTGTGAAATGTTTGAATGTGAGTATTCAAGTTTAAACAATTGACTTCTAATGATACATTCAAAATTTTTTTTGGCACAATAAAAGGAATAAAAGTGCCCATTAGAGTTAATTGAACAAGCTAAGATACTCATGTTTACTGATTTTTTGATATGGCACCATGTAGTAGGTTAGTATTGTTGGGTGTCACCTTAATATCTAAAGTCAATGAGTTTTACTAGGGTGTCACCCTAAGACTGTTAGGCATTCACTTAACAATGAGTTTTAGAGGTGGCTGACATTAGGCATTACTTAGGTTTTGATGGGTGCTAATTGGAATTTAAATTCCAAAGAGCTTCAGGGGCTTGAGGCATTGGGCACAAGATAATTCATTAGCCAATGCTAGGCTCCCATTTGTATTTGTTGTGCGATTTTAGTGAATTAACATGTAAATTGAAATAAATAATAGGTGATTGATGTTGATAAATGAGTTATGTGTCATATATTATTTTTTTTTCTTGTGATTGTGTTTTTTATATTCTTAAAGTTATTGTAAATAAATATGCTTGTGAATGGAATGATGGCATAGTTATTCCTAGGGTGAGAATACTGGAACAAGTTGGTTGTGTGTATTGAATGCAGAGACAAAATGAGATTATCTTAACTTACTAGTACTTGGAATCATATAAATGAAGATAATTAGTTTGTGAGAGTCGAGGGAGGTTCATATATCTAGAGTGATTCGAAAGTTGAGCTTGTAAATATATATAATTTACCTTATCATGCTCTATGGATGGTAAGATCTCGAACATGTTATAACTATAGCTCACTGAGAAGTAATAGTGATTGAGTAATGATAGATGTAGGGTATTAAAGTGCTAGTCAATACACCAATCTGGAGAAGTTGTGTCAGATGAATGTTTGAATGTTTGTGTATAACATGTGCCAACGAAGCTTGTATATATGATTTATGTTATTTAAATTGTTGTTCCTTTGGATAAGATGTGTGATTTGTTAAAAGGTGTATGTATGTAACTAAAGCTTGTTTAAAATTTAGTACTATGATTTACATTTATTCTGTTTTTATATGTTTGTTTGTGGTCTATCTGTCTTTAATGATTGTATGTTATACGTGAGTAGAGAATGTTGTTGGAGAAGTAATAAGATAAATAATGGAAGATTAAAGTATAATTATTATTTAGTTATATAGTTTTTCATTAAAAACACTTTATATATATATATATATAGAGAGAGAGATTTTTCTTAAGTTTCACGGCTCAAGGGTAAAAAAATACATATTATATGTTTACATATTTAGTAACAAATTAATCAGTACCATAAATATGCTAAATGTTACCCTATGTATTTTGTTTATTAAATTCAAATTTATTAAGCAATGATTGTGTACAATTATATATAAGATTTTATAACGTTAGTTTGTAGGTTCTTAAGTCATTTGCCATTTTTTATCTCTTTACTTGACTCGATAATTCAATTTCTCTCTACTTTCTTGCTATTTTAAATTAGTTTCTCTAAAGTACTTTTACTTTGGGTACTTTATAAAACTTCGGTACTTTTAATTCAATTAATCTACTTTGTCTTTCAATTGGTTCATTCTTCTCTACTTTCTCTTTACTTTCCAATAATGCAATTTGACTTTCTGTAAATTACTTTTGTATTGGTTTTCTAATTTTTTAATTGATTCTCACTTCATTAGTTGGGATTTTCTATTCTATGATTTTAATTGCGTTTGTTTCAATGATCTTAATATCTAGCTAGATTTGTTCAGTTAAGCGTTATTTATAATTTCAATCATGAATTGAATTTCGAATTTGGTATATGTGGTTTACTTTTTCTTATATTTAATTCATAACTTTTTTTATTACATAGATGATTCATTCATAGATAAATACAAGTCTATATCTAATTATTATACCCAAAACTCATATATAATTTTAATGATAATAAATACGATAATGATACTTTAACAACATTTTTTTAACAACATTTTAACATCATTTACGTGTCATTCTGTGATTGGTCCAAAATTAGTCCACAATCAATAATAATAATAATCATAAACACTAACATGGACCAATCATACAATGACACGTAGATGATGTTAAAATATTGTCAAAAAAATGTTGTTAAAGTATGATTATCATAATAAATAATATTAATTCATGATTATCTAATGAGTTTATGAATGCGTTACAAAGTTAATGCGGCAATCCGGATTATGATGAGACAATGAAAAGAATTTAGAAAGCAAGTCATCATTGAAGTTTATTAAAGAAATTACGAAAGATCTTAGAAAATTTATAAATATATATTTATTTCTCTCCTTCTATATATATATAAATAAATTAAGACGTCCTGCAAAATTAATGTAAATTTTTTAAAACATTTATTTTTCTCTTAATATAGTAAAATATATATAAAAATATTACATTATTCTTTAACTAGTTATTTTTTAAATAAAATATTTAGTCTCATACAAATTAACTACTACAATTTTTTTTAAGAACTACAATTAAATATTCTTATCCATACAATTACAGATTATGCAATGAACAAAGATAACAAAGATATCATTTTGTTGTAGATTTTGTATGAATTTTATTTAAAAGAAAATATGAGTTAAAATAGAGTTTATTACATATTAATTATTTTAAATAATTAAATGTTAAAAAAACACAAATGATTCTAGAAAAGATTAAATATACATTTCCAAACCTATTTTTAAAGTTTATTTATTGAAATAATTTTTTTAATATATATACACACAACCTAAAACTCTATAAAAATGTTAGAATTTACACGAAGATGTTTTTACAAGCCAATTAACATCAATATTAGATGTACAATTATAAATCAAACAAGACCACCTCACTAATTGATGCAATTTCACATTTATTCCAAACAAGGTAAAAACTTTGTACAAAATTTTCTATCTTGAAATTGATTAATAAATTGATACTTTTTTGAATTCAATCTTTCACCATTAAACTAGTTTTAATCTCTAACGTCAGTCCAAAAAATTCTGATTCCATTCCTCCAACTTCATTTTGCATCATAATTCATTAAAATACATTCATGTACATTGTTTAATTCGTATATAAAAAACTTTAAAAAGGATGCTCACCTAAACTTGCTTAAGTGATATCTTGTAAATGGAGACAAAAATATTAAAATACTCTACTAATACTATAATAACAATTAATATAACATATTAATACGTAGTTTACTTATTATTAATTAATTATTTATAAACTTTTACTCAGTAATATTATTGCCAATTAATTTACATTATTTTATTTTAATAGCATTAATATCGTAATAAAGTACCATGATATTATTACTTAGAAATTTAATACCATTTAATAATTAGAAATAATAAAATAACGTTTCATCTAATACTATTGCATATAATTTTTTTAAGATATATAATAATATGATAAGTTTCTTAACATATTTCGTTACTAAAGTATATCATATGATCAATTATCTATAAACCAAAGGGAAAATTAAATTTGTAAAAAAGAAAAAACACAAAATGTTACTTTTTAATATATTTTTCATCTAAAATGTCAATTTTCTAAATATCGAGTGAGCATCAAAGTTACAACTATATTCCTTTATAGAAATAATATTAGTAATTAAATACATATACGAATATAAAAACATAATTGTAAGTTAATTGTTATATTTGGTTAAAACGTGGCCATTAAACTATTTTTAATTTCCTGCCTCTGTAATTTAAAATGAAAAAAAAAAGAGTGCAACAACTTTAATTTCTTCCATAAATTCACTCTCCATCTGAATCAAAAATGTCATTTTTGCCTTTATAGAGAATCTGACACATTAAGAATCTTTGATTGAAAATATTTTCTGAAGGATTACAAGAAATCAACAAAGCAAGGGAGGAGAAGGAGAAATGATTTCTTGTACTCTATATTATAATAACATGGTTTCATAGTAGAAATTTTCACTTATTAAGGAATTAAGCTTGTAAAAAACTGAATTAACCATCATAATAAAACTTGTTAATATTCAACCAAAGGGTGAAAACTGAGAACACATTTTAATAAAATAAACCAACAAGAGTAATTTGAGGTCATTCATTACATCCACTTCCATTCAACACTAGATTGCCAAACCTTAACTACGAAATAGATATCATTTAGGTTTAATTCTGTCCTAAACAAGAATTATCTCAATCGTAAATGCTCTGAAGACAACTGCCACGTGTCTTGTACATCCCTTTTTAAGAGCGTCGATTCATACCAAGGATATCTCTGTCTTTGTGTACAGAAACCATTATCAAAATGAATACATTTGTTGGCAACTGTTCAGGTTAGAGGATCTAATTCTATCTTTTTGTAACAACTCCACTACCAAAAAAATAAAACTGTGTATACAAACCGTATGTACATGTAATGCAGTGAGTTCATTGATTTTGTGAGATGGTCATTCTGCAGGTACTTCATCAAAGCCAAAAGTGCAACATTGCCTGTTCATAGAAATTTACTTTCATCAGTTCTTATTTGAAATTTAAGAGCACAACTAATGCATAGCTTCATGAAAAGCCAGTACCAACCTATCCTACCCCATGATCATCACATTCAAACTGATACTAAATGTAAAGTGTACACCACAAAGAATCAAAGAAAAACATGAAAGATTCAGTCCAGCAATATAGTATTTCTTGTTCCCCTCAAAAGTCAAGGGAAAAAAACAGGAAATTCTAACTACCTCTTGGAGAGAAGCCAAAGACACGTTGTCCCTAGTAGCAGCTTTTTTGGTTTTCAAGTCTCTCATCTCTGATTGTATTGATTGGAGTTGACTTTGTATGTCCTTTAACAGTCTCAACTGTTCTTCATCATTCCCTTCATGGATAATCTCTTGCTTTGCAGTAATTCTCTCCTTCTCAAGCCTCTCAATTCTCTGATTCAGCTTACGAAACTCAGCTTGAGAATTGTAAACTTCATTCATCCCTTCCTTTTTATGGTCACTGACTGCCATCATAACTGTAGGACAAGCAGCTTTTATTTCACTATACACTTTAAACACACTCTTTCTCTTTTCTGCTGCGCCAAGTTTAACAGGTTTTTCAACCATTCCCTGATAGTCAGAATCTGGTTTTCTTAATCTGTTCTCTGCATTCAAATTCCATTTCTCGTGCTTTTCACTAGTTTGTGGGACTTCATATACATCATAGACATTACGCAAACAAGGAGAATCATTTGCAACTCCTCCATTATGTGTACTTTCACCTTGACTAACTTGATCAATGCTAGCCTGCGATGAAATTGAATAGGACCTCCCTCTTCTACTACTCAAATTTGCACTCTTTTCTCCTTCAGCACAATCTGAAATGATCTTCACTTGTTCATTCAACTCCTTTATCTGGTTCAAATAAGAATCAAGAGTTCCACTACCACCTGAAAATTCAACTGGTTTTCTTGCCAAATCCAAGCCAGATTGAGCTACTTCCTTGTCAGTACTCTCCTCCTCTATTATCTTAGGAATCACTTCAAGAACTGGACTAGGTGATCTTTCCCTGGTAGCAGCTCTCAGGGAACTCAGAAACTGAATTGCAGGCATTGATTGTAGCCTTCTAACAGTGCTACTCTGACCCCCATTTTCTCCATTTCTTTTATCACTCCTATTCAGAAGGAGATCCTCTTGGAACTCAAACTCTTTAGCACTAAGATCACACCCCAAGCTCATAAGTTTGTGTCTATAAGCCTGGACTTGAAATTCGAGAGACACAATTAACATTTCCTTCTGATACATAAGTTCCTCAAAAGCCTCGAGAGAGGCCTCAGCATGGCCTATCTTCTCTTCTGCCACTCTCTTGTAGTGACTGGCCTCCATCTTCACCACAGCCTTCTCTCCCTGCAAACGCAGTATCATGTCCAGTGCTTCATTCGTTGCAGTAGCTGAAGCTTCTCTTTCCTCATCCAACTCAGCATATAGCTTTTCCAGAAGTTGCTGCTGGGCACGAAGTGTCTCCTTCATTGCTATTTGATCACTTTTACTACGAGATATCATAGAAGAACACCTCATACTTTCTGCCATTCTAAACCTTTCTTATTGAACCTATCACCAACCCAGAACACAGAAATCAAGTACAGCACAACCACCCTTCGATTCACAATCATTCAAGAATCATAGGGCGAAATATTATTATTCAAAACCCACAAAAATTAAGAAAGCTAGACGAAATTTCAATCGTTAAATAAAACACTATTTGCCAAATTCCATCAATACTAAGAAGATCCATTAACATATATATCAAAACGAAGAACAAATCGATGAATAAAACAAGCACTTACCAGTTACCACAACAGAATCTCAACCAAACCTAAATTCAGGAATCAGATTTTGTGAGAAAGAAGAAAGTAAGTGCAAATGGGATCTTGCAGGAAAAGGGTGTTTTGAGGAAGAGGAAAAACTTCACAAACAAATGAAAAATATTGGTTTGCTTAGAAAAGAGGAGAACTAGAGTGTGAAACTGTACAAGCTTTTCAAACAAGTAAAAAGACTTCACACCACACACGGAGAATTTATGAACCTTCCAATGGGACAAGACAAACATGAAAATCTCACAATGGAAAGAAAAGAAGCAATCTGCTGCAAAATTGGGTCAGAAATTTGAAAGAACCACTCACTCAGTGTGTGCACAATCCTCCCAAAAAGTAAAAAAGCTAGCCTTTGGTGTTTGCTTTTGTTATACGTGCAGGAACTGTACTGGGTCACGCGCATAGCAGAAAAGGACAGAGTGTGGCTTTCTGTTTCCAGTTACGCGCATAAGACAAAACACGTCCAGGATGCTAGGTTATTGGTTGGTTGGTTGTAATGCCGACCATCTTCATATTTTAGTAAACTTGCAATGAAATTCGGAGTGATTTTAAAATTCATCCAAATATCCCTTGTATTAAAAACATTATGCTGTTTTGCTTAGTTTTTACATTCCAGCTCTCTGTTCTTGGGGATCATTATTCTCATTTTCTTGTAGTGAGGGGAATGGCTTCTTATTTTTTTGGACCCTGGTCTTAATTCTTTTTTATATTTGGTTGTCTGAGTAGCCCCGCGCACACTCGAAAGAACGGAATTGTTATTGGACATACCTCATTGAAAAAAAACTACTGAAAGTACAGCCTCATTATTGAACCGAAAGACAAACACCTATGTTCTTAGGGTGGTTTATCATGTTAATACGTTTATGGCTCCATACTGTTGTTTATTATAATTATATATACCCTTATAGTAGTGTAATTCATATTTTTTGTTTTTTACTAATTCATAACTTATAACTCTGTAATGCCGCCTTAAAGCTAAAGACTCTCGGGATTAGGGATGGCCACGGGTTGGTGGCCGGATAGTGCCTCCTGCCAACCCGATCCGCCAACAAAAAATTACCCGTACCCGATTCGCTACCCGAACTCGCTACCCGACCCGCTACCGCACGGCATCCGCTAAAAAACTTGGGGGTTTTAAACGCAGATTACCCGTGGATTCCGGACCCTTCAACTTAAAAAATAGATATGGAAGAAATTATTCAAATAAACTATAAATAGAAATTAACAAAAATATATCCCTATCTCAATTTAAATGACATCTAAATTTACCTCACTTTTAATAACGGTAATCGTGTACAAAATAATTAATGGTAAATTTTAATTAAATTTACACTCATCCACTATAAATTAAAAATTTTTCTTTTCTTTTTCCGGTCGCGGGACTCGCGGGTACGGATCGTACCATACCGTATGCCCCGTTTATAAGCGGGTCTCCAAATAGCCCTTACGCGGGTGCGGGTAGTAATATCCGCGGGTATCACTCTCCGTCGCGGATTGTATCCGCAGATCTCTGGGGCGCGAATTTTGTTGTCATCCTATCGGGACTGAAGTTTGCCCTTACAAACTGCGTTAGCGGACAGAGATAAATGCTCACTCTCCCACGTAAGAAGACCCATTGCCCAAGCCCACCCTTTACTGCTCCCCTTGACAGCGCCATGGCGGACTCCGCACCGGTCTGGCCGCCGCGCTCCCACCAAACAATGGAAGCCGCTTGTAACAACACAACTGCCCCACACCTACCGCCACCCTCGAGCATTTGAAGGAGCAGAATCCCGCTCCTGGAGCTGGCCCGCATCTGGAGACCGCTTGTTGGATGCTGTATGCGCCGCCTTGCACGAAGGGTTCACGCCCACGCTGTCCCCATCATGGAGATGGGACAAGCTATAGTGGGAGCAACCTTGGGCTTTCAGAAGGCACTGCCGACACGTTCCCTGTTCTCCTCCTGCATCCACCGCGGGGTGGCTTGCCGTGCTGACCGGTTTCTCCAGGGAAGCTGCTGCCCTGCAAGCCATTCCGGCTGAGGGTTGCGCAGCAGCGACCTCAACAGGCACTGACGACCCGGGTGGGACGGGGAAGCACTTGGGCGGTGCCGCCCATGACGTTATGGGCAGGAATGAACGCGTGGCGCCCAGGGTAATGTTGCCGTGTGATTCTCGTAGTTTTCGCTTTTCTTTTGGACTGCTTGTCACCGTTTAAGCGTCTCTCCCTTGACCAATGTATTGTTGTGCTGTGTGTTTCGCTGTCCTTAATTCTGAAGTTGACGTTTTGTATTTGCAGTTGTTTCATGTGAGTTGCACCCACCGTGTATGTGTCCTTGCTCAATGCCTTCGCTAGGTGGTCGAGACCCCTATTCTTCGTTGATAAACATCAATCGATGTGTTGCCTGTGTTATCAAGTCTTCGCTTGCACCCTCTTTCTTGCTCGCAGAGGTTATGGGTAACTTTCCTCCTCCGTAGTTGATATTTTAGGGGCTTCTGCCGACCAACTTTCTTCCCCGGACGAGCGGCTAGGTCTCGACCTAGGAGTGATGGGAACTTCATCGTGAACGAGAGTGCCAGGCCCTTGAGGGCTTCCTCACTGTTCGCTTTTCGCCCAGAGTCCTAGCAACTGTCCTTGTAACGAGGTGCCATCCAGTGGGAACTTCTCATCGGCTCGATTTTCGACAGAGGAGTTTCGTAGGCACTTCCTAGATGAACGAGAGTGATAGTCCATGGGGGACTTCTGACCGCTCAATTTCCACCTAGGGTTATTGGGCGCTCTCGTGAACGAGACTGATAGTCCATTGGGGACTTCCTTCACGACTCGGTTTTCGACAAGGAGTTCTGGGAACTCCTCGTGGATTCGCCACTTCATTGAATAAAAATGTTCGCTTATTTGTCAAACTGCAAACACCAACCAGACATTAAATAACAAAATCTATATCATATGAAATTTAAACATGAAGTATTTCATTAAAGTAGAATTGGATTAGTCGCATTCCACGTGTTAGGGATAACTTTCCCTTGCGTACCTCGAGCATAAGCGTCATTCATAACTGCTTCGTGAAGCGAATGGTCCCTCCAAGTAGTTGCTGTTGTCCAGGCGCCGCTTTTCCTGGCTCACCTCTCTTGCGCCTACGATATATTCGTCTTTGAGCTCTTGGTTTTCACTGGTATTGTTACTTCTTGAAATTCAACCTTTCTGGGCGGCGGCTACGATGACGGCTACCTTCTAGTTTCTGACAAAAGTATCGAGTTACCTGCAGTTGTTCATCGTTGAATCTATATCCTTGAGGTCTGTCTCAACGCAGGTAACTTAATTCAACCGAAAAGCATGACGTTCTTTTCTAGGTTAAGGGAAGGGTTTTATCAGTAGAAACTTGCCGGAGTACACTTGTAACCCCATACACCTCGGGTAACTCTGCTATATAAACATTTGGTTCGACTAATCTTCTGTTAGCAACATATGAAGATGAAGTTTTGAATAAGGTCCAAATCAAGTCAAGAAAAATCAAGATTTCAAGAAGCTCTTTGAAGATTTAGTATTACAGAAAGCTTTTTTTTTTTTGTAGGTAATGTAAGTAAAGTTAATTCACACGCCATGATTTTATTCTAATTGTGTGACATGATTTTATAATAGAAATAAAAAAATAATACCACCATTCCTGTGAAATCGATTTTTATAATTCATTGCATGATTTTGATAATAAAAATAAATCTCACCACTCATTTATTTGACATGATTTTTAATTTATTTAACATGATTTTTACTAAGAAAATAAAATAATGTAAAATGAATAGAAATGGATCTCAAGAATATTTTCTCAAAAATCTAATAATTGCTAGATTCTTGGGGGGTTTAAAGGTCCACCTATTTCTTATTTTAGTAAATTAAATTATATTTATTTTAATAAATATTTTTGCACGGAAATTCGTTTTGATTTAAATTTCTACCAAATTTTATTTTATTGTAAAATTTATTGACATAAACTCATTCAGATAATTATTAAAAGTAAAGAAGAAGAAAAAGATTTAGATATTGTTCATTAATGTTAATATTTTTATATAATAATGTTCATTATATTAATATAGTTATTAATATTTTTTATTTTTTAATAATTGACAATATAAATATAGTCAACTTTTTAATTTTATTATAAAGTAAATAATTTATTAATTTATGATGATAATAGACTCATTGAATTAATAAACACATATAATTTTATGAAGAAATCCACCCTAACAACACACTATTATGAACAGCGGTTAACATCTAATACGATGCTTACAACAAACAAGGAAATCTTACTTAAAATCTTTGTTATCTACATGTTCGGCCAAAAGAACACGTACCTATATATCCTGTTCCTTAAAGAAACGTAACTACAATTTGGATTAA